GACCCAAAGTTCATGTTCTACGACCACAGCCTGGTGGAAGCCGTGAAGCTGGACGATGCCGCGACACACAGGTTTTTCCGGTTACTCTCGCTGTGTCACACCGTGATGCCAGAAGAGAAGAAGGCAGGTGAGCGTTGCGGAAGGCACCGATGTGGCTGTCACGGCCTGTACGTCGTAGCAGTGTGCTAGGCCGTCATTTCTCTGCAGACACGGGTACGGGTCCACTGGGAAATCATCTGCAGATAAGGTGACCAAATGTCCCCACTTTATAGGGACAGTCCCAATATTTGGGGCTTTGTCTTATATAGGAGCCTATTACCCCCCACCCCCAGTCCCGATTTTTCACACTTGCTGTGTGCTCACCCTATCTGCAGAGCCCTGCAAATCCGCGGAGATCCGCTTTATATCCGCAGATACCCACATCTGCAGATGTGGTAGGGATGCCAACTTTTGAACACCTTTGCCCTGCCCCTCGCCCCGCTCCTTCCCTGTGGCTCCACCCCTGCCCCACCCCTTCTCTGAGACCCTGCCCCCCACTCACTCCATCCATCCTCCCTCTCACTCACCCACTTTCACTGGGCTGGGGCAGGGGGTTGCGGTGCAGGAGGGGGGGCTCTGGGCTGGGGCCGGGGATGAGGGGTTTGGGGTGCAGGGTGGGGCTCTGGAGCTGAGGCCGAGGGGCTTGGGGTGCGGGAGGAGGCTTGGCTGAGGCATGGGGTTGGGGTGCTGATTCTGAGAGGGACTTAGGGTGCAGGAAGAGGCTCTGACTTGGGGCAGGGGGTTGGGGTGCAGGAGGGGGTTCAGGGTACGGGCTCCAGCCAGACGGCGCTTACCTCAGGCGGCTCCCTGTTGGTGCAGCAGCCGGGCCAAGGCAGGCTCCCTACCTGCCCTGGTTCCACGTGGCATGTCCAGCTCCTAGGCACAGGGGCGGCCAGGCAGTTCTGCGTGGTTTGTGCTGCCCTCACCTGCGGGCGCTGCCCCCACAGCTCCCATTGGCTGCAGTTCCTGGCCAATGGGAGCTGCGGAGCCAGTGCTCTGGGTGGGGGCAGGGGCAGTGCGCAGAGCCTCTCTGGCCATCCCTGCGCTTAGGAACCGGACTTGCCGGCCACTTCCAGGAGCCACATGGAGCCAGGGCAGGCAGGGAGCCAGCCTTAGCCCCACTGCGCCACTGACGGGACTTTTAACGGCCTGGTCTGCGGTGCTGGTTGGAACCGCCAGGGTCCCTTTTCGACCAGGTGTTCCGGTCAAAATCCAGATGCCTGGCACCCCTAAGAGGTGGCTGTATTGTTTGCCATCTTTGCGGATGGCAGATTGGATGTGGATTCAAATTTGTTTACCCACACAGAGCTTTAGAGCAGCGGTTCTCTACTGAGGATTCGTGGCCCTCTGGGGGGGCTGTGGTTTCAGGGGGTCCCCCCACAAAGCCCTGAGCCCCGAGGGGGCTGATGCCTGGAGCACTGAGCCCTGGCATCCCCTTCGCGGAGCTCCAGGCTTCGGCCCCGCGGGGCCATGGACCCCCTGAAACCGGCTCACGGCCCCCCAGGGGGGCATAGATGCCTGGTTCAGAGCTGCTGCTCTAAAGGGTGCTGCTGCGGATCAGATGTGGATCCAAATGTTTGTATTCACACAGGGCTCGAATCGCCCGAGTCAGTGTGTGGCTGCTCTGCGGGTGCCTCGTGGGGAGAGGACCCCAGGAGACTCCCAGGCCTTGTGGCCCAGAGTAAGGGCTGGCCAAAGTGCAATAACTACTCCAAGGAGTGCAAAGGCTCTGCAAGCCGAGAGCTGCTGGTGGCACTGGCCCCCCAGAGCCGATGGGAATAAAGCCACGCCCTGCGTCCTCCCTGCACCAGTCAGCAGAGCTGAGCTCACGCAAGGGGCAGTGCCTGCTGCATCGTGACAAATGGGGGCTCGTTAGTCATGCTAATCCCGCGCTCCTGTCCCCCCACATTCCATCTAGGGCCGAGTCCCGTTGCCCTACTGAGCGCTGCGGCAGGCCTGTCCTTTGGGATCTGAAAGGCGTCAATACCAATGCGGACGGTACCTGGGGTGGTGAAGGGCTGAGCCAAGGAAACGTTCCTGGCAGTGAGATCCCTTGGGCTGCGGAAGTCTCCCAAGCAGAGGGAGATCCTTCCACTAGACGGAGGCTAGGAACCAGTCCTGCACTGGCTCTGGGGGATGGATTCAATGGGACCTAATGGAGCTTCTCCGTCCCGGACGTGTGTCAGTCTGTGGCCTGTGAGGGGTGCGTCTGTGGGCGGGTTTTATTGCATCTGGCCGGTATATGGACGGACCGGAGATGAGCAGTGGCTATAGAATGCCTCAGCCCTTGTGTTTGGTTCACATCAGGAGCAGGGTGATGATATCTAGGACTGAGATGAACATACAGTGTTTCTTCCTTGCCTGGCAGGTAACCTGGTGTATCAGGCCCAGTCTCCGGACGAAGGAGCCCTGGTCACTGCCGCCCGAAACTTTGGCTTTGTGTTTCGTGCGCGGACCCCCGAGACCATCACTGTGGTGGAAATGGGAGAAACAAAGGTCTACGAACTCCTGGCTATTCTGGACTTCAACAACGTGCGCAAAAGGATGTCTGTCATCGGTGCGTTCCCGCCACTCCCCTTCCACTTTTCTGCTCGGTCGGCCTCTCCAACTCGTACTCCTTGTGCCGGGTCTCCTTTTCTGTGGTGTCCAGATCCTGCAGTGATTAGCGTGGGGTAAATGTATTGATAGAGTGGAAGTGACCAGGGACTTCACTGGGAGCGGGGCCAGGTCTTCAGTGGCAGACGTCTCTTGGCATCTGGATATTGATGTCCTTGCCCCCCTCCCCTACTACATGCTTCAGCAGTGTGTCTGCTCAGGTCACGAGGGAGCAGTGCGTGTTGGGCAGCCTGCAGTCTGTGCTGCCACACCTCCGTATTAAAGACGGGAGTGGCTGCATTCTCCTCCATTCTGTGCAAAGCAGGTGTGAGCCTCACCCCTGGCGGGCCGCGTTTGAATGTCTCTACACACACTTGATGTGATGGCTGCCAAATGCCGTCGTCTGGGTTTTGCAGAACTTTTGTTCCTATTGCTTTTAGTGCGAAGTCCGGAAGGTGACCTGACCTTGTATTGCAAGGGCGCTGACACCATTGTCTATGAACTGCTGGATGCGTCCTGTGAATCCCTCAAGGAAGAGACCATGGAACACTTGAATGTAAGTGCCCCCTGCCGGGGAACCCCTCTGCAGATAACGGGCAGGGTGGGAGTCCCCTGTTCTCGGTGAGCGTCTCTGATGCCACCATTGGAGCTGGGAATGGAACCGACACTGAGACTGAAAAGTGGATGATCTCTAAAGCAACCCTAAAGGCATCTCCCTGGGAGATCGGCAACTAATGCGTAACTTACCGTGGAAAGGAAAGAATTATTCTGTAAAGACTCAGGGGGCCATTGCCTGAAAAACACGTTCATCGGCTCCTTACATTTAGTTGTGTTTTGAAGTCTGGATAGTTCAGGCAATTGGTAACGGGCTACTGAGCCTTTCCTCTTTCTAAATACAACCCAGGTCAGCAGTAACCTCAGATCTGACCGTTGCTCTTCGGTTTTGTGTCTTTTGCTAGTTGCTCTTCGAATTCTTTTCTGCTCTACCTAATTATACTTTTACACTTGACTTGCCAGAGTTGATGTTCTGTCTATTATCCTCAGTGGTATTTGACTTCCAATTTTTAAAAGGTGTCTTTTGTCTCTAACCACCTCTTTTACTCCTTTGTTTAGCCATGGGGGCATTTTTGTTTGGGGTATACATAGAGTTTGAGCCTCTATTATGGTGTTTTTAAAAGTTTCCATGCAGCTTCCAGGCATTTCACTCTTGTGATTGTTCCTTTTAACTTCTGTTTAACTAGCCTCCTTTTTGTGTAGTTCCCCTTTTTGACGTTAAATGCTACCATAGTGGGTTTCTTTGGTATTTTTCCCCTACAAGGAAGTTAAATTTAGCTACATTATGATCACGGTGACTTAGCTAATCACCTCTTGGATCAGTTCCTGTGCTCTACTTAGGACTAAATCAAGAAATGCCTCTCCCGTTGTGGGTTCCAGGACTAGCTGCTCTAAGAAGCAGTCATTGATGGTGTCTAGAAATTTCATCTCTGCCTCCCGTCCTGAGTTGACATGTTCTTAATGAATATGGGGATAGTTGACAGGCCCCATTTTTATTTGGTTTTCTGTTTTTGTAGCCTCCCTAAGCTCCCTGAGCATTTCACAATCACCATCACCGTCCTGGTCAGGTGATGGATAGTACATTTCTACTGCTATACTCTTATTTTTGGAGCATGGAATTTCTATCTGTAGAGATTCTGTGGTACAGTTTGATTCAATTAAGATTCTTACTATGTTTGACTCTGCGCTTTTTTTCATTTGTAGGGCCACCCCCACATCCCCACCTCTGTGACCTACTCTGTCATTCCTGTATATTTTATACCCTGGTATTATCATGTCCCACTGATGATCATTATTCCAAGTTTCCATGATGCCTATTATACAGTAACTTCCCACTTAATGTCCTCTCACTTAACGTTGCTTCGATGTTATGTCCCGGCTCCATTACAGAACATGCTCGTTTAAAGTTGTTCAATGCTCCACTATAACGTCATTTGGCCACCTGCTTTGTCCACGGCTGGCAGCCCCCCTATCAGCTCCCCTACACACCCCCCCCCAGAGCCTCCCACCCGCTGGCGGACCCTGCGGATCAGCGCCTTCTCCCTGCTCCCCCCGCCTCCTGCCCGCGGCAATCAGCTGTCTTGTGGTGTTCAGGAGGCAGGGGAGGGAGGCTGTGCGCCGTGGACAAAGCCTGTATATAATGCCTTTTGTCTGGCAAAAAAGAATTTCCCTGGAACCTAACCCCCCATTTACATTAATTCTTATGGGGAAATTGGATTTGCTTAACATCAGTTTGCTTTAAGTCGCATTTTTCAGGAACATAGAATGTTAAATGAGGAATGACTGTATCTATATCCTCAATTAATACCCGGCGCTCAAGTTCACCCATCTTAGTATTTAGAGTTCTTGCATTTGTATATAAGATACAATTAACAAGATATTATCTATCGGGGCCTTTGCTCACCCCCAGCTGGCACTGGCCAGAGCCCAGGGCCCCAGGTAGTGGAAAGCCCCCCAGGAGGGGTTACACTGGCGCAAGCGTCTGCAATCCCTGCTCTGCCAGACGGCCTGCAATGGGATAGCAGAGTCCCAGCGCAGTGAGACAGCAGGCCAGCGCTGGAGGAGGAGGTGCTGAGGACGCAGCACATTCCATAGGCAGCTGAAAGCTGCCCTCCCCCAGCGGAACCCACCGGAGGAGGATGGTGGCTGTACCACCTGTCCTCCCCTGAGGGAGAATCTGAGCTTTCCAAAAGGGAACCTCGCTGTTGGGATGGTTACGACGAGCATTGGGGTCCAGATTTTCAGTCACTTATGCGGTGAAGGTGCAGATGCGATTGCTCATTGAAATTGTGCATGCAGTGACTGTTGTTCAGGGCAAAGAAAGCATGCAGTCACACCAACGGTTCTGCCAAGCAATTGCATGGACACAATTCTGAAATTCTGGGAGTAGCTCTTTTGTGTGTGTTTTATGTAGGCCTCATCCAAATACCAGTGACATAGGTGCCATGGTAATGGAAAACTTTAGAGTCAAAGTGTAGGAAAACCCTTTGGATTTGGTCTTGTATGGGCAATAGACTGCAGTTAAAAATGGATCTGTTCAAGAGTAGATCTGGATTTCCAGTTGCTGGTGAGTTTAAAGTGCTAGATGCAAGTTTTCATCCGTTTCATTGCAGAAGTTGGGTTGGCATCTTTTGGGTGAGAGGGTGTTTGTAAATAGCGCTCCTTGCAGATCAAGTGAGAAGAATGCTCCACTGCATGGACCTCACCTGTCCCACTCATGTCTTGCAGGAGTTTGCAGGTGAAGGCTTGAGGACACTGGTTGTGGCCTACAAAAACCTGCAGGAAGACTACTTTGAGGAGTGGCACAAACGTCACCATGAAGCAAGCACTGCCCTGGATGAACGGGAAGAGAAGTTATCTGAGTTATACGAAGAGATTGAAAAAGACTTAATGGTTGGTCTTTCATGGAATCTGGGTCAAGCTGTGGGCAGGCAGCCGGGAGGTTGGTTCGTCAGTAAGCAGATCGCTATGACTTTACGTGGGTTGTGTAACTAAAATGGCTTTGATCATGGCAGTCCTGGGTTTTCACTGACACCTTGGTGTGCATCCAGGAGCTGGCTGGGACCAGTTTTATATTAACTTGTGTGGTTGTCTGATTAGGTGACTTGCGATGGGCGAACACACTGGAGTTTGATGGAGGTGATATTTCATAGCTGTCCCTTGTACGTTCATTCTTCCAACTTCTAAATGACAAGCTGTAACAGCCCTGTCCTGAGTAGCTCCTGGGTCCCTCTGCATTTCTGGAGGAGCCTTTACTCTGGTCTATCAGCCTGGGAGGAGAGAGGGGTGTTTGTGTCAGCTTGAAGTGACTGCAGGCGATGACTAAACTGTGATCTGCAAGCAGGGTCCTCCTGTGAGTGATGCTGCTGCTTTTTGAATGCCCCTGGGGTTCACCGGTGCGTGCTCGCTGTGGGGAATGAATGAAAAGAAGATACCTGCCCTATCTGAATGGAGGCGATGCAGCTTTTGCAATCACAGCAGCTCTTATGAAATCTTGGAAACTCTACAGCTGCGTTGTCACGCTCTCCAAGAAGGTTTCTGTTTCCTGTGGGCCTGTGTGTGCACCCTGGAAAGAAAGGCCTTTATTTGCAGGCAGGAACTGGGGGAGGGATAGCCCAGTCGGTGAGAGAGAGAGAAAGGAGAATCTGGTGTGGGGGATGCTGGCAGGGAGGCCACGAGGCAGTCGGAGGGTCCTGGGTCATGCAGTCTCATGATCCTGCTGAGAGCTGAGGACAGGAGGTTTTCTGTGCAGTGTCAGGGACCTGTGGAAGGAGCTGGGAGGCAGTAGGGGGAGGTCATGATGGAGAGTGAGGATGGAACCTGGTTAAGTTCAGAGATTTTAATAAGACGTGTTCAGCTTCATGCTGATTGCGTTCAAAGCAAAGGGGAGAGTCATGGAAAGGACGCTGTTCCCCTCCCCCTTCCGTGGTTTGGACGCCGGATCTGGGCAGGCAAAGGCCAGCAGAACTCCTGACGCTGCCAGGGCCGGCGCAACCCATTAGGCGACCCAGGCGGTCACCTGGGGCGCTAACATTTGGGGGGTGGCGACCGCGGCGGCTGGATCTTCGGCCGCCGCAATCGGGGGCGGCATTTTGGGGGCGGGACCTTCCGCTGCCTAGGGCGGCAAAAAAGCTGGCGGCGCTCCTGGACACTGCCCATGGGTTTTCCCCACCGGCCATGCGCAGTACCAGATACCACAGCTCCATGGTGCTTCACTACAGCTACAGAGAGAGCCTGGCCACGGGAGAGCTCAGGCCTTCGTCCCGTGGCCCTGTAGCCTCCGTGTGTTGGGAATTCATGAGTATCCAGGGGCGCTCTATTGAGCTCTGCTTGGGGAGGACCGAAACGCTTCCAGACCAGATTCAAAAGGCGGCGGAGGGCTTGCAGCTGCCTGGGTGAGAGAGGCTTTCTCGTTACATCTATGACACCCTGGGTGACTCAGCCCCACGCTGCTATTGGACGCAGGGCGTCAGAGCAGACCTTGCTCTATGCTGTGACAAGCAGGAGTTGTTTAGTCTTTTTCATCTTTTCTTTTCCGTTCCGTGCTTCCCTCACCTGATCACTCACTAGCCGGCTGGTTATGAATACACCGTTAGGCCACAGGGGATCTGGAGCAAGCCCCACGTGTAACTGACTTAATAAGATGTGGTTCAGAGATCCAGGTAACTGTCAGCATGGGTCACAGGTGTGCATTCTGGAAAGGCGAGTGTGCTTGCTGTGACATTGTCTTGGATTCCAAGGAACGATACAAGAACAGCGGACGGAGGAGATGTCTGCCCTTCAGGATAGCGGAGGTCTCTCAAACATAGCGTAGGAGATTTTGGTCCTGATACCCCAGTCAGACCCAGGCACTGGCTCAGAGCCTGAGACCTGAACTCTGAGCCTCCCCCAACAGCAGGTAGGAAGCTCTGTCTAAAAACCTCAGCTAGAAGCTAGAGCCGAAATCTCATTTGCATCTGATCATCACCTCCCTGGGTCACGTCTCACCAAGATTCGAGGTCAGTGGGTGTTCCCAGCAAGTAGAGAAAGAGACTCTTAACAATGTTTGTGGCCTGATACATCCGTGTGGACAATATTCCTGTCTGTACGTTACCGCGCTGTGCTGCTGTAAGTGCAGGGTGGGTGGAGAAAGAGCGAGGCCTCCAGTCCTGCAAGCAGGTACCTGAGTGATTGGTGCATGCACACGGGTCAGCGGGGTGACTCACAGGCACACGGGTTTGTGGGACCGGAGCCTAATGCGTACGATAACTAGAGCTGAGTGGAATCAAGCCTGGGCTGAGCCCCCAGCACGGTGAGCGCTGCTGGATGGACGGAGCAGACGCGACTGCGCTCTCCTCTGGTGCTGACCACTGGGGAGCTCACCCATTTCCCTCTGTCTTTGAAGCTGCTAGGTGCCACGGCTATCGAGGACAAGTTACAAGATGGAGTCCCCCAGACGATTGAAACCCTGGCCAAAGCCCACATTAAAATCTGGGTTCTTACTGGAGACAAGCAAGGTAAAGGAGATGGTCTGGGACAGACACGCAGGGCTATGGGCTACTGCCTCTGACTTTCCTCTCCTCTCCTCTCCTATGGATAGGCTGTTCCCTCCATAGCCTGCATCCTGTTTACTCAGGCAAAACTCCAGGGGTCTGAATGGTCAGACCCACGGTGAGTCCTGAGGCTGCAGGCACAGACAGCCCCCTTGGGCACTCCAGTCTGTCTTGCCACCCAGGAGAGCCTGCCTTTGTGATAGATGGTCCCTTACTCCAAAAATCACAGCACTATTCAGGTTACTCCCAATCCCAAAGGACCAATCACTTACCCCAGGTCAGTGGTATCTTAGATCTCTCACCAAAGACAGCGCTTGTAGCCAATCCTGTAATAAACTAATTAAAGGTTTATTAACTAGGAAAAAGAAATGAGAGTTGTTTACAAGGGTAAAGCAGGTGGCTTGGTCGACACTACACACTCACTTTGGTATAATTACATCGCTCAGTGGTATGAAAAATCCACCCCCCTGAGTGATGTAGTTACACTGACCTTACCCCGCAGTGTAGACAGCGATATGTCAGGGGAGAAGCTCTCCTGCCAACGTAGCTACTGCCTCTCGTGGAGGTGGAGTTAAGCCGGTGGGAGAGCTCTCTCGTTGGCTTAGAGCATCTTCACCAGACATGCTACAGCTGCGCAGTGCGCCAAGGTAAATTTGTAGGGTGGACCTGCCCTTAGGTTCCAAAAAGTAACAGAAGCTGCTGTAATGGGCAAGCTCTAGATGTCCTTTAGGGGTAACCCAAGCTAAGCAGCTTGGGGATCCCTTGCTTATGCTTAGAAATACTGCCCTCTCCAAATGCCAAGCAGCATGGTGATACAGATCCTTCTGGTCTGGGATTTTATTCCCTTCCCCCACAGTTCAGACTGTAAGGGGACATGGGTTTGCGTACTTCATGGGGGTGTGGGGAGCAATCCACAAAGTCTCCTGTCCACTGATGTTCCCCAGTGGTTCATCTGGTGTCTATGGGCGTCCTTCTGTTGGGCAGGGGACACCCCTAGTGGTTCACTGGTATGTCACACTTGGTAACGCTCCTCTCCTGACTGGGGGTTTCCAGTGTCATAGCAAACACTTCTCTAGCTACAGAGCAAACCCTTCCCTGTCCCCCTATAGCATGGGGTGCAGCTATTACCAGTGAGCTCAATGCCGGCAGCAACTCACACGCAGTTCATAAAGGTCAAACGCTGCACACTTGCTTAGACACGGAACATCTGTTTTAGCAATGCTAGCACCCAGGTGAGCCAGGTGGGTTTCCAGCTGTGCATTTGTCAGTGTTTTCAGTGAGGCCTAGTGGCCTTGGCATGAGCTGGCACCTGGACTGCCAGGCTCACCGCAGCATTTTTCTGTGGAGCTGTGTTTTCCTAACAAGAACTAAACAGCAAATGGAACCGCACAACCTATATCTGCCCCTCTGGTCCTCACGACCCCCCCACCCTCATCTGGAGAGCTGGAGAGATGGTTTCTATTACGCCTTTCTTCCCCAAAGAGGCCAAATGGCTTTTTGGACACGGGCCAGATCCTTAGCTGGTGTAGATTGACATTGTTCCTTTGATGTCAGCAAGCTCAGGATCTGTCCATTTTTTACCTTCAGTCCTGCTGAAATCCAGCCCCTTCTCGGGCACAGGGCTGAAGGCAGCATGTTGCAGAGCAGGCAGGAGAAATGCCGTCCAAGGACATAGGGCGAAAGGCTCCTCAGAAGCGCCCTTGTATCATCAGGGTCCATGCACAGCAGACGATCCACATGCAGTAAATTGCATGGGAAAGTCAGTGCCTCCACTTCAGCAGCATGAAGAGCTGAGTCTCTTGTGCCGAGATGTCAATCTCTGTGGCCCTAGGAAGCCCGGTCGTTGTGAGCCTGGTGCTAAGACCATCCAGCCAGACTCGCTGGTTCCTTTAGAACTGACAGCTGTGTGTGGCCCAGGCCTCTCTCTGATGAGATGCACGGTACTTGTCAGCCATGGAAATGGCCCAAGGAGAGTGCAGGGTGGCTGGGTAACCGACGTCATTCCTGTCTGAGTCTGAATGAAATGGTTGATTTTTCCAGAGACTGCCGTGAACATTGGCTACTCCTGTAACATGCTGCATGATGACATGAAGGACGTTTTCATTATTGAAGGCCACACCTCTGAGGCCGTGTTAGATGAACTCAGGTAAACAGCCAGATTGTGCATCGCCATGTGGTGTGTTTGGCACAGAGAACTGGAGGGTGTTTGTGCCATTCAAGCCTTCTGTCTTCATAGGATCATAGACGTGGAACAAGGGACCTCAATAGGCCATCTAGTCCCGTCCCATGCACTGTGCCAGGACTATGCATTATCTAGACCACCCTGACAGGTGTTTGTCTAACCTGTTCTTATACATCTCCAATGACAGAGATTCCACAACTTCCCTGGGCAATTTGTTCTAGTGCTTAACCACCCTGATGGATAACTTAAATTTCCCTTGCTGCAATTTAAGCCCATTGCTTCCTGTCCTTTCCTCAGTATGTACTTAAAGGCTGTTATCATGTGCCGCCTCAGTCTTCTGTTCTCCAGACTAAACAAACCCAATGTTTTCAATCTTCCCTCATAGGTCATGTTTTCTAGACCATTATTCCTTGTTGTTGCTTGTCTCTGGGCTTTCTCCAATTTGTCCACATCTTTCATCTAACACAGTTCACCAAAAGTTAACTCTAGACTGGCTGTCTCTGAAAGGTCCGCTCTAATTCAGCCAGCAGAGATGGGCTTCATGCAGGAATCACGGAGTGAAATTCTGTGGCCTGTGCAAGTCCGACTAGATGATTATGAATGGTCCGTTCTGGCCCTAAAATTGATGTAAAAAAGGACACAGTTGACCACTCTGGATCGTCATGGGCCAGAGGGTCTGGGGCCACGATGCCTTTAGTTGTGGACATAAAGTGGTTCTCGCTGCGCCAACAGGTCATCCTTGTTCTGGTCTCGTAGCTGGATGCTTTTCTCAGCTCGTCTGTAGGGAGGAGCCAGATGGAGCCCTGTGATCTAGGAAAGGAGAAGGCGGTGGTCCGACCAGGAATAAAGAGATTGTTCTTGATGTCTGATGATGGGGGCCTAGGTGGGGGCCGGTGTCTCAGAAGGCACTGCCTAATGGGAGGAGTAAAGGTGGTTTGAAGCCACCTTTGTGTCTCATGGATTCTGTCTGCTCCAGGGGCTGCTATAACTTCCAGTGGCCACCCCACAGCTTCCTACGGGCTGCTCTGCATCTGCCCCAGCTAGCCCCTCGGCTGGGTGCTTCAGGGGCAGGGAATCCTAGGGCCCCATATCCTCGCCAGACACTGCTCTGACACTAGCGGAATTCTCCCAAGGCCACTCCAGCCCTGTGTGCTGCCAGAGCCCTTCAAAACCCTCTGCAAGGAGAACGATACTAACAATGGGGTCCATGTTTTTCTTTAATAAACCTGGGTTTAAGAAAATAACTTACATTTGTTTCTGTATTTTTAATGACTGATCCTTTTAAGGACTGCAAGGAAGAAAATGAATCCGGATTCCTTCCTGGACAGTGATGAAATTAACATCAAGTTTGAAAACCCTTCCATGAAGTCAAGGATCTTACCTGAAGAGCAAGCGAACGGGGTGTATGGCCTGGTTATTAACGGCCATAGCTTGGTAAGGATGGGTTGGAGTGCCTGTTGCCGCCAGGCTTGTCCAAGAGCGGGGGGCAAACTGAGTTCTGGGTTCCCTGGAAAATCTGCCCCTGAGTGTGCAGGAAAGCCACTAGCTTTTCTCACACGGAGCCTGGAGCCTGAACCAGCGCCACGAGGGTGGTGACAGAGTCCCAGTGTTGCCGCGTTCACATCTGCGATCCTGTTTAAACAAAAATAACAACAGCAAGTGGAGAGCGGCACCATGTTTGTTATGGCCAGCCGCACAGCATCACAGGACACAGTGATTTGTGTGCATGGAGGGACATTATCGAGGCTTGCGTATAACGTTTTGTTAGGGGAGGTTTTTGTGCATTGAGGCTCTTTTGGAAAGTGGTAAAAACTATTGCTGTCAATAGCAGGGGAAAACCGAATCACGAAACGGTCTCTCCAGCTGAGCAAGCCTGCCTGCTGCTGCTGGGAGGGACGCGGGGGCGTTGGTGACTCACACGGCTTACTGGTTTTGGAAGAAAGGAAATCTGGGCTGCTGATTTGCTGCCTTAAGTGGAAAGGGCAGCTGGCCTGCTGTATGGCTCGGGGGAGGAGGGAGTCATGTGGGTTCCCTCCGTGAATGTCTGCAGAGAAGACATCAAAGCACAAGAAGCACATTCTGTAAGAAATGTGAAAAGGCAGAAATGTGTCCCTACCTGCCAGGCAGTGGTGGAGGGATGAGTTTCTGAGCAGATGTCCGGTTATCTATGTTGATTTCAGGAATGGAAATAACACATCCTAATAAAGTAAAAGGTCAATACTGGGAAGGAAGATTTATTTTGTTTGTCTTTTTCTTATGACATGTTCTACTAGACTTTTTTAAAGCACTCCCAAATTGTAAATCAGCCCATATGGGACTGGTTTTGTTTGGGGTTTTTTTGGAGGCCGGGGGGCTTGGAGCCTGTAGATCAGACAGATGATTTTTACATGGGTCCTGGATTTGGCAGGAAAGGGAATTATGGAGGGTCCATTGAGGAACGTTCGTGGGAGTTGATTAATTGTAAGTTACAGCATGTTTATAATTGTAATAGAAAGTCAGAGCTGCAGGGTCTTCTCAGGACACAAGCCTCTACTCACACCTTAGGAACTAAGCCAGGAGTGAGCAGAGACCCACCCACCAAGGTCAAGAGGGCAAACTCCACTAGTGTCACTGCTAGTAATGAAAAGGGGGGAGCTTTGGTGATAGAGGCCATTGTCGTTGCTGCTCAGAAAATCTCATCCCAGCTCTTATTCTTGGCCTAGTAGCGCCTGTGGGCGTCCTGCCTCCCCGGCACTTCCTCTGACACAATGGGTTCGTTATTCTTCCTCCTGCTGGTTCTGTGGTTTGGGCTGGCGCTGTTTCTGGACTGACCTCACTTTCATAGCACGTTCTCCTCCGCTCCACAGGCTTACGCACTAGAAGGGAACTTGGAGCTTGAGCTGGTGAGAACAGCCTGCATGTGCAAAGTGGTGATCTGCTGCCGGGTGACCCCCCTGCAGAAAGCCCAGGTGGTGGAGCTAGTGAAGAAGTACAAGAAGGCCGTGACCCTGGCGATCGGTGATGGGGCAAATGATGTCAGCATGATCAAAAGTAAGTAGAGGCAGCCCTGCCCAGCTGTCTCCTGATGTGTTCTTCCGCACTGGCACACAGCAATGCCCACTCTGCAAGAAGAGTGGGAGCTGCTCTGCTAGTGCAAGGCTCTCTAATCTGGAACTTGTCCTGGATCCAGATTCTTCTGTGCCGTGGTCGCATCACAGCTACCAACAGCCAGAGCTATCAGCCAGTCTCAAAGGCAGTCACTTTCACATCTTCATACATCTGTCTCTCTGCACATCCCTGTGTTTGGAGTCAAAGTAGACCTTGATCAATAAAATTGTACCTTCATCCCCGCTAGGCAGCATGGGGTCTTTGAAACCTGGATGTATTCCAGACCTACAAACTTTCCTGCAGTGGTCAGATTCCTTACTGGTGCAGGTAAGTGATAGCTTTCACAGCAGGCTGTGTCTGAGGCCTCAGCAGGGTTCTTCCTGACTCCATCACCTTGTCTTTACCCTAGGAACACCTGAGCCACAATGTCCCAGTGCTTTCTAGATGCCTTATTTCACTAGGCAGGGAAAGAACATGCCCTCCAGGGAGTTTCCCAGGTCACCTTCCTGCCATGGGCAGTAGTAGTTCTAAAGGAGAGAAAAGGTTCTTCACCTCACGCTCCATCCACTCCCAGGTTTGTCGTCTCAGTGAGAGATGTGGCTCCATGTCAAGGTATCAGAGCTGAGAGCCATTTCTGGCCTGTGAGGGTTTTCTCCCCTTCATAAATCCAAACCTAGGTTCTGATGGGCAGCATTACAGCGATGCGTTACCTGGACCACCACAGAGGGGGTGCTCTAGCCAGTTGTGTCGGGAAAACTTCCCATTCATAAAGTTCAGTATCCTCCACCAGGGAAAGAAGAGACGTTGACAGACTCTTAGAGCAGAATTGACACTCAACATGCAAGTGCTCTATCAAGGGCTCCATCTTGTATTATTTTTTTCTACAAGGGGGCAAATACCAGCTAAGTCCTTTCCCACCAGGGATACTCTGCTTGTCGGTGGTTCCGATTCACAGGCAAGCAAAACCTAACATCAATATTGCATTTGTTTCCTGAACCAAGAGCAGGAACTTCTCTATATGGTGCCCTGGATTGAATTTAAAGGGCTTCCCAGTGTTGGTTTAGTTGGTACCAAGTTGCTGTCAGTAGCCTTGGCAAGAGACTGGCAATTTTGCCATTCAGTATCGTGAATATGAGATTAGTTTCTGAAAGTCCTGCTTTCCAAACCATTTCATCTCCTGCCTCCAAGATGAGTGGGAGTCTCCACCAAGGTCCAGAGTTTCTCTGGTCAAGAGCCGGAGTCTGGATAGTGAACTCCTGAATAGGAGCGTTTATACTGCGGTCCAAAAGATCCTATTGGAAAGCAGGAATCTTTGATCAGCCAAGTCTGCTCCATGAACTGAGAGAGATTTCCCCATCTGAGCCGCTCTGAAGCAGGTGGGCCTGATAACAGGCTCATTGGCCATTACCTTTGGACTATTTATTACACTTGGCATAGTGTAAAACAACAATTCTTTGATTGCTGCCAAGAGACGTTTGGTTGCCATCTCTGTTGTGACCTCTGATACACAGATTGTGACAGCCTCTTGTCACCCTGGAGTTACCTGATCTGTCCCCAGGTTGCTCTGTGTATCTCGAGAGCTATCTGAGGTGGTTACTTTGCTGTGAGAGCTGCGGAAAAGGAGACCTAATTTTCCATTGCAATGCCTGTTGTGCTGCAAATCTTGCCGTAGAATAGGTTCGTTTGTCTCACCCGAGGGGTGTTCCCTTCTAGCATGAACGAAGGGGCTGTAATTTTTATCCTTGTAACGCTCATAGGTTCCATGTAAACATTAGTCAGGCATTCTTGAGAGCCCCGAGTGTTACTGAGATGCAAGCTAATGACTGATCTCCTTTCAGCTGCATACTTACAGAACAGGTGGGCCTGCCAGCATCTCCAGCTCTGCAGTGTCTGTGCTTTCCATCTCTTTCAGACCTCTAGCTTGTCTGCATGTCCTGAATGTCTCCTACTTTGCATGGTCAGAGAATTTTGCCATGATTTTTATGGGGCCAAAACTTATCCACAACTTCCCCAAACCCTTATAGCCAGCCATGGGGCTGACACCAGAGGAGCCAGTCCATCATGGTCAAATATTGTCCATGTAAAATGCACTGGGTTTCACAATTACCATGACCGGGCAGTGGTTCAACTTCCTGGGTTTGTCAGAGTCCTTGTCTAGGACAAAGGCAACTCCTGTGGCAGGTCTTCGTTGCACCATGTGGCATGACCGGTACTGGAGCTATGTACGTGCTTTTAGCAAAAGCTTTCCCTCGTTGTGACTTGTTCTAGGGGAGCCAGCAGTTCGGTCACCCCCGTTTACTTTTTGGCCCTTTCACCTCGTTTTGGTGCCCTGCTGTCCCTGTTTGCGTAGAGCTGCGTAGCCTGGGGGCGGTACTGCTCGCTTAACTCCCACCAGGGGGAATGTGCAGAGGCCGCTCAAGGGAGAACTGGCGGTTACTTACCTGGCACCAGAGTTCCTAGAGATGGAGTCTGTATTCACACTCCTCGTCCACCTTCCCCTCTTCGGAGTCCCGGGCTAGGAATTCCTGACGTCGTGGAAGGAACTGAGGCTGGTTGGGGCCACACCCCCTGGAGTGGCCCCAGTGGATGCTGCTTTGCAGAAAGTTCCAGAAGCTGATAGCGCGGGCAAGTTGATCCCACAAGTAGGACTATGCAGAGCCCATCTCAATGAACTCGGGTTACAAGTAAGTAACCAAGTCAGTGCAGATGTTCTGCTCTGCTTACGAGCCAAATTCTGCTCCCCACGCACCTAGCCCTGCTGACTTCAGTGGGACTGATAGAGAGTGGAGCATGACCCTCCCTGGGCAAGTCTCTGCTCCCAGAGCTAACGGCTGATCTCGTTCTCATGTTCTACTCTCCCGGCACGCACGGAACCGTCATGGATCTCCTCTCCAGTCTGGCTGCATCGGGATCTTCATGAGGCACCACGGGGTTGGTAGAGACCGAATGAAACCCATTATTGGCCTGCTCAGCAAGGAGGGAATGGGCCTGGAGACTGTAGCTCACGCTCTCGCCCCCAGGCAAGGAGACCCGGAGCAGGGTGATGGGGGCAAGTTGCAGAGCCGGCACTAGGCGGAAGCAGACTAAGCAATTGCTTAGGGCCCTGAGCAGCTCATGGGGGGCCCTGTTCCCTTTTTACTACAAGAACTTGCCTGGTTTAGTATTTGGGGGAGGGGGTACTCCTGCTTCGGGCCCCCAATAGGCTAGCATGGCCACTGGGCAGTTGGCACTGTCACATTCTGGGCTGTTCCAGCTCTGAGCGTGAACAAGGACGTCAGTCTCCAGGGCTGCCACTTGGATGGCTTTCACCAGCAAGACATTCACCTGGCCAGCAGAAACAGCCACTGCATTCTGCAAGTGTCTGGCAGCCCCAGATCAGAGCTGCCTGAATGGGCAGGTTGTGAAGTAGGCGTTCCCTGGGTGGGGAAGTTCCCTGATCGGTTCCCAGCTGGGTACGTGGCCAGCAAGGGTTGCTGATCTTCGTGGGTTTGTTTTAGATATTCCCTTTTTTTTTTTTAAAGACTCAGGACTGTGTGGGTGCGCCCAGAGTAGGTCTGTGTCCCCCTGAGAGCCTGTCGGTGTCCCTCCAAGTACCTGTCGGTGTCCTCCTGAGTGCCTGTCAGTGTTACCCTTGTCCTACCCAGTCCCTCTGCCCGTCTTCTACTCCCACTTGTTATGGTGTTTGCAGATCCTTTGGGGCAGTGTATCAGACAGCCCTCATCCCGGGGGCCTCTGGGCACTCCTGCAGTACAAACAATAGCTGCTGATAGGTCTGTGAGGAGTGTGAAAGGATGCCTGTAAATGTTCTGTATAGTTTTGTGTGAATGTCTTAGCATCCCCGTGTGACCCATGGGACACCTCCCGGTCAGGCCCTAAAACGCAGCCTTCTAGTCGCCGACAGGATTGTTTCTTTATTTGGTGCCTTATGACTCTAACAATTCCTCACGCTAGATATAATTAAAGTAAGATTATTCAAAAGAGTCTCTTGCTAATCTTCCTCATGTGAATTTATACAAATTGATTAACTGGGGCCTTTTAATTAAGAAAGAAAAGACTAAGTGGGGAGCTTCAAGGGAGATAAGTCAGGCAGCCAGTCAAGAAAGGGTAAAGAAAAGATAATTAGTGATAATTAGAAAATACCACCACCACCACCACCACGAGAGGATGGGGACTCAGAGTTCTGCTCGGCTCATTATTCCATAGGAATCTCCGAATCCAATCAACCCCCAGCCATCGAGAATGGTGTCATTCGTTAAATCTCTATCCTTAGCTGTCACATTAAACGTATGTCTCTGTTTAATAACTGCAAGTTATTATTAAGACTTTTCTGTGTAAATGTTTGATTGAACTAATAATGCCCACAGACTGTAAGATGACTCAGGCTGGTTTGAACTAGATGGGCTGTTGGTCTGACCCAGTATGGCTGTTCTTATGTTCTTGGTGTATAGAAGCATATTCTGCAGCTGGGGGAGTGGAAGCGACCATGCACACTCAGTGCATTTAAACACATCTCAAAGGTCATTTTCTAGCAATGGCAATATTATAAAGTTAGTTTGTGCTGCTGGAAAACATTGACAGTCAAGGAAAAGATTCATTGTCATTAGCACGTCAATGAACTCAGCTGTTGGAAATATATAAATTAGTACTCAGAAACCAATCTGTTACTCAGCAGCCTGCAGTGTGGCCGGTGGGCCAAATGTGTTCTGTGCGGGAATGCCCTCCGCTCAAGTGCAGGTGTGACCCACAAAGACTACGTGTCCCAGCATGCAGTGGGTAGTCTGATAAACACTATCATCGTAATGATCTGGATTCTCCTCTTGTTGCAGCTGCCCACATTGGGGTCGGTATCAGCGGCCAGGAGGGGATGCAGGCTGTGCTGTCCAGCGACTTTTCCTTCGCACAGTTCCGTTACCTGCAGCGCCTGCTCTTAGTCCACGGGCGATGGTCCTACATCCGCATGTGCAAGTTCCTCAGATACTTCTTCTATAAGAACTTTGCCTTCACGTTAGTTCATTTCTGGTATGGATTCTTCTCCGGCTTCTCTGCACAGGTGGGCCAGTTTCTGTGTTCCTGTCACACTGTATATTAGACGTGTTAATAATCCTTTTCCTGCCCGAACGTCTTCCAGCAGAGGAGCCCAAAGCACTTTACAGACAGGACCGAAGAGCCCCCTTCTCGTCCTGCTGTGAGGAACTCTGGGGAAGTCCAGTTATCCCCCTTTTACTGATGGAGTCACTGAAGCATAGAAAGGCCAAGGGCCAGATTGTTTCATCCTCAGCTTTGGGTGCCAACATAACTTTCACAGTGTGGTCCTGAGTGACTTGTCTGAGGTCACACAGGGAGCCAGCGGAACCCAGCTTTCCTGACTCTCCGTCCTGTGCACAAAAGTAGCTTCCTCTGCAAAATACAGCCGTGATGAGACAAGCCAGCTCCTTCCTTGGGGCAAACATTACTCACCTGTCTTCACCATTCCCAGGGTTTCTGGTTGGGATACTTCTTCTTCTTCCCATGGGCACTGGTAGTGAATTTCCCTAGCTGATGTTCTCACCCATTCACCTGCTTCCATTGCTGACAGAAGTGGGGTGCTCAAGGCCTGCTTAACGCCAGCAGCCACCCAGTGACATTTTTCTCTGGGGTCACAGAATTTCACATGCTCACCAGGATTCCGTGAATCGATGTTGATGTAAAATCATTGAGTGTTTTGTAAATCTGGAAGCGGGGATGGGGAGGCCGTTCCATTCATGAGGGGACCACATGGGAAAACCTGCCAGAAGGCGGGAAGGAAACCCACGGGCTGGTTCACATTGTGGGTAGGGACCTGGCCGGGCCTGAAGCATACGATGGGGCAGAGCTGGGCAACCCCATGTCTGCCTTTGTTTGCTTAAGCAACAGGCCACAAAATTATTTGAAGCTAAATCTCCTGTGGATTGTAGCTGCTTCCCGGGGAAGTCTGTACAGTGAAAAGCCCTATGCTGTCACCCACCTCCCCTGCACCGTACACAGTAGCACAGGGGAACCTGTGGGTGCTTCACAGTAGCACAGGGGAAACCTAGATAATGTGAAAATGTTTGGCCAGGAAAGTGCCCTGGGGCTAAAATGCAGCATTATTGTGTGTGCTACTAATGGAGCAGAGAGCAGGTTAGCATTTCTCCCAGCATGCTTCTGATATACGGGTCAGAAGGTGGCATCCGGCACCTGCCTCAGATGCAATTTCTGCTACTTCTGCAGGGGCCTGTGATGGATCACTGCTGCCACCTAGTGGCTGTCATACAACCCTACTGCCAACTCATAAAAAACGTAGGCAGCGGTTCTCAAACTGTGGGTCGCCAGGACTGGTGTTAGACTTGCTCCACTGCCTGCTTCAGCCCTAGGTGGCAGGGCTCAGGCTTCGGCTACAGCCCTGGGTGGCGGGGCTCAGGTTACAGCCTCCCCTCCCCCGTCGCTGAAGCCTTTGGGGTTCAGCTTTGCCCCCCCCCAGGCTGTGGGGCTCAGGCTTCGGCTTGGGTGGGCTCAGGCTTTGGTTCCACCTCCTGGGGTCTTGTAGTAATTTTTTGTTGTCAGAAGGGGGTCACAGCACAATGAAGTTTGAGAATTCCTGACATAGAGGACCAGAGAAGTGCCACCATGGCTAACCAACAGAGTAAAAGAAGCTATTAAAAGCAACCAGGCATTATTTAATCACTGGAAGTCAAATCCTACCGAGGAAAATAGAAAGGAGCATCAGCTCTGGCAAGTCATGGGTAAAGTATAAATTAGGAAGGCAAAAAAGAATTTGAAGAGCAACTAGCCAAAGACTGAAAAACTAACAGCAATTTTTTTTTAAATACATCAGAAGCAGAAAGCTGCTAAACAACCCATGCTAAAGGAGCACACAAGGAAGATATGGCCATTGCAGAGAATCTACATTAATTCTTTGTATTAGTCTTCACGGTTGAGGATGTGAGGGAGATTCCCACACTTGGGCCGTTCTTTTTAGGTGACACATCTGAGAACTGCCCCAGATTGAGGTGTGACTAGAGAAGGTTTTTGAACAAATTCATAAATGAAACAATAAGAAGTCACAATGACCAGATGGTATCACCCAAGGGTTCTGAAGGATCTCAAATATGAAATTGCAAAACTACTAATTGTGGTATGCAAACTATCACTTAAGTCCACTTCTGTACCAGATGACTGGAGAATAGCTAATATGACACCAATTGTTAAAAACAGCTGCAAAGATGATTCTGGCAATTACAGGCCGGTAAGCCTGACTTCAGTACCAGGTAAATTGGTTGAAACTATAGTAAAGAACAGAGTTATCAGACATATAAATGAACACAATCTGTTGGGGCTTTTGTAAAGGGAAATCACGCCTCACCAATCTATTAGAATTGTTTGAGGGGATCAATGAACATGTGGACAAGGATGATCCAGTGGATATAAGGTACTTAGATTTTCAGAAAGCCTTTCACAAGGTTCCTCGCCCAAGGCTCTTAAGCAAAGTAAGCTGTCGTGGGATAAGAGGGAATGTCATCTCATCGATCAGTAGCTGGCTAAAAGACAGGAAACAAAGAATAGGAATAAATGGTCAGTTTTCATAATGGAGAGAGGTAAATAGTGGTGTCCCCCAGGGGTCTGAACTGGGACCAGTCCTATTCAACATATTCATAAAAGAGCTGGAGAAAGGGATAAACAGTGGGGTGACGAAATTTGCAGAAGGTACAAAATTACTCAAGATAGTTAAGTCCAAAGCAGACTGCAAAAAGTTACAAAAGGATCTCTCAAAACAACAAAATGGCAGGTGAAATTTAGTGTTGATAAATGCAAAGTAATGCACACTGGAAAACATAATCCCAACTGTACGTATAAAATGCAGATGACACTAAACTGGAAGGAGTGGTAGATATGCTGGAGGGTGGGAATAGGATACAGAGGGACCTAGACAAATTAGAGGATTGGGCCAAAAGAAACCTGATGAGGTTCAACAAGGACAAGTGCAGAGTCCTGCACTTAGGACGGCAGAATCCCATTAGGAGGGCTCAGTCTGTTGTAGCATGACTGTATTCCCCTCATGCAGATACAGGTGTGGGAGTCACTAACTGATTCACATCACTGGGGTTTAACCAATAAAGAGCCCTGTGTCTGTGACTCTGTGAACCTGATAGGTCTGTTCAAACAGCCTTGTTCCAAGTTCCAACTGTTAAACGCACTCCTTCCTCGTTTCCAGGCAGCTAGAACTAGAGTGATCACCCTCTCTCCATCGGGAGTAGTGTTAACTCACTGCTTTGATTGCAAGCTCTCCGGGGCAGAGTCTGTCCGCTCTGTGTTTGTAACGTGCCTAGCACAAGCGGGGCCCGATCCTGGTATGACTCATAATAAATAATCATCATCATCTGAAAACGAGAGAGCCCAGAGAGTTCTGTATTTCAGATCACTTGTGTTTCATTTCAGGTATTATATATTTCCTTCAGTGTCAATTGTTGGGGCTTTTTATTTGTTTATTTGTTCCTTTAAAGGAAGCTGCACGCTTTTGGCTCAGTATTCCAGAACTGCCCAGCAGTTTCTCAGTGCGGGGCCAAGGCTGGTGGGTGCCATTTACTTTTCAGTCGCCTGCAGCAGCCTGGAGAGAGGCTGATTGAATTTTGAGACGTGAGCAGCCAAGGAATTGTTTTGCGACAGTTTGTGCCCTTTCTGCCAGGCTTGGCTGGAGCTCAGTGTCCCGGGCATGGCCCTTAGGCCGGCCCACTGCTCGGGGGCGAATGGCAGCGTCTGTGAATGAAGATGTGAAAGACTGACAGGCGGGCGGGGTCATCGATTGCCGTTACAGATGAGCAGAGGCTTCCCTTTGCTAACCGACCTCTTGACTCTTTTCCAGACTGTGTATGATCAGTGGTTCATCACCCTCTACAATTTGGTGTATACCTCCCTCCCGGTGCTAGGAATGAGCCTCTTCGACCAGGTACCGTTTACTATTAATACCCAGGCTCACCTCTAGGGGGTTTATTCCTGGATTCTGTGGCTCAGTTCCGTGCTCCCTTCTGGACAGGAACTAGGTGAATAAAACCTGTGCTAGAAACTGCAGCAATTTCCCTGCCAGGAGTAGAGCGCAGAGCACAGTTCTGAAGTGCGTGGAGCAGATTCTGTCTTGTCTTGCCTGGCCCCTGGTTTGAGCATGGCTGGAGCCCTCTGGGTTGTACTGTTAGCGACAATAATGGAAAAGGTGCCCTCTAACGGGAGAATATTCACATCCTGTTGGCCTGGACCCGAAGCCTGAATCAGCCCTTAATCTTCCTTGACTCAGGATTAAGCCATGGCTTCAAGATCTGGCCCGATAACCAATATTTGTAAGCACTTTACAATCATCTACATGCAACTGCCTCTGGGGTGAAGGCTGGTGACTAACAAGTGCACATGTAACAGTGGGGGTGGGGAATTTTGGCCAGGGACACTGGTGTAGATCCCTTCTTATACAAAAAAGCTGTGAGATCGTTAATCCTTTCTGGAAAAGTCCTTTACAAATTAATAGAAAATAACCTTGGTATAGGAATGCTGAGCCATCCAGTGAAAGGCAGTGCAGAATTCTACAGGATGGTTAAAAAAAACCCTATAGAAAGGATGTGGTATGAATCAGTCCCTTTGGTCTGGATGTCAAGTTCCTACGTAGATTCTGTAGGATTTTAGAGTAATGTCTATAGAACCCTGTCCTGCGTCTCTAGGGTCCGGCTGATAGTAACCCTATGAAAGAGTTTTAAGGAAAGCTGTGCAGTGGTTAGTAAGTTTCCTGTAAAGCAGCAGTTCAGTAAATGGCCTGGTATGGTACAATCTGGGTAGGCGTCCCATGTCGGAGCCTGCATCAACCATGCTGGGCTATGAACCTAGAGTTCTGGGCAGCCTCGGTGGTTCGGATCTGACCCTTTGATCTCTGGCTCCATGATCCCTTGGAGTGTGACCAACGTCTCTAGATAAAGCAAATACTCAGTAATATATTAATAAAATGGATCACTGCGGCACAGAGCACACTAGACTTCCTGGGGGATGCCCGCTGTCCTAGCATGTGTATTTTGATCTTAGCTCCTTTATATGTATAAAGCTATATCCTCCATATGGCTGCCCTTTCCCAAGCAGTGGCAGATTTTGGTCTTTATTTTGGGGAAGGGAAACTGAACGTTGTGAAGGCCAAAAGAGTAACTGGCTTGAAAAAAGCATTGGACAGGTCCATGGAGGACAGGTCCATCAGTGGCTGTTAGCCAAGATGGTCAGGGATGCAACCCCATGCTCTGGGTGTCAAACCTCTGACTGCCAAAAGTTGGGTGTGGATGACAGGAGATGGATGAAAATCGAAACTCCCCTGTTGTGTTCATTCCCTCTGGGGCACCTGGCATTGGCCATTGTCAGTAGACAGGATACTGGGCTAGACGGACCTTTGGTCTGACCCAGTCTGGCCGTTCTTATGTTCATATGACACAGACTCTGAGTATTTTCTAGTGTGACTCGTTTGCACTATCAAGAACATCCTGAGTCCTGTTCACCTTGAACTTGACCAAAGCTACCCACAGGCCATTGCTCCCCTACCCCCCAGCTAAGACAGCACCGAGTTAAACCCAAGAAAGATTCATTCATCAATTCCAAGGCCAGAAGAGACCACTGTGATCAGCTAGTCTGACCTCCTGGCAAACTCATAGATTTCCCTTCTCCTCCTTGCCCTCGATCTCTGACTCTGCCTTTAACATGCTCCCTCTTCCCCTCTCCGCCTAGTGCCTTCTTTTCTTCACCCGGAAAACCCCTGAGCCCAACTCGCTGCCCTGGGGCCTCATGGCCCTTGCGTTCTCAATACTACGTATGGACTAGGCCCCTGCAAACCAAAGAGCTGGGTTAATGCTCACAATCCCCTTAATCACCATCTGGTGTGATGGCCACAACCAGTGCTCATGGGGGTCTCCAGGCCAGGCCCTCTATGCTGACCCCTTTTTGTGGAGCATTTCACACAGAGCACTTGTCTCAGTCCTTCAGAGCTGCATTCCATTGATGTCTTTGCCCCAGCAATATATCAGCCTGACCCTACCTGCATTGCAGAGGCTAAACGTATGGGAACTTGAGAGACATCCAGTGGCTCAAAGGCTCAGGGCTCCATGTCAGACAGTCCTGGACATTGGGCTGGAGCGTGCCTCGTAAGGCATGCGACCTCCATTTATCCTTCTCATCAGCACTGGGAAGGTAAAACCCACCTTGGAGAACACGCCCGAGTGCTCTAGTGATGTGACCTGTTGGGCAGCATGGCTGAGTGGTGTGCTGGGGCTCTCCCACATGGGAATGCATGTCACAGCTGGGGTCAGGGGGGTCCATGTCACCGCTGGGCTGCCAGCTTCTCCCCTCTGTTCCCAGGACGTGGATGACCGCTGGAGCATGCAGTTCCCTCACCTCTATGAACCCGGGCAGCAGAATCTCTACTTCAACAAGATCGAGTTTGTCAAGTGCGTGCTGCACGGGATCTACAGCTCCCTCATTCTCTTCTTCATCCCCTATGGGGCCATGTACGACGCCGTGAGAAGTGATGGGAAAGCCATTGCTGACTACCAGTCCTTCGCACTGATGGCCCAGACCTGCCTGCTGATCGTGGTCTCTGTGCAAGTAATGCATCACTGTTGTCATTATTTACTTATTTATTTTATTATGGTAGTGCCTGGAGGCCCCAACTGGGATTGAGACCGGATTGTGTTAGGTGCTGCACGTACGCTCAGGCCCCAACTGGATTGTGTTAGCTGCTGTATGTACACTCAAGCCCCAATCCTGCAAAGATTTACCTGGACACACGTGAGTTGCTCAGTTCTTCAGTGGCACTGCTCGTCTGGAAGTCTTTTCAGTACAGGGGCCATAGTGAGGGACAGCTCCCGTGCGGGGGAGTTTACAGCGCAGATGGACAATACAGACTGGGGTGGGAGAGGAGGAGGATTCGTATCCCCATTTTACTGGTGGGGAACTGAGGCACACAGTTGTGTATCGACTGTCTGTTTACACGGCAGTGGTGTCTGCACTGGGTGGATGACCTTCACCTCTACAGTCTGTGGATGTAGAAACAAGCCCCATGGATGGGGGGAAGCGGTAGATGTGATGTATCTCGACTTTAGTAAGGCTTTTGATACTGTCTCACATGACCTTCTCATGAGCAAACTAGGGAAACACAGCCTAGACGAACTTACTTTATTGAATTTAACCAGTTGGGTGCACAACTGCTTGGAAAATTGTATTCAGAGAATATTTATCAATGGTTCACAGTCAAACTGGAAGGGCATATTGAGTGGGGTCCCACAAAGATCTGTTGTGGGTCCGGTTCTGTTTGATATCTTCAGACATGATTTGGATATTGGCATAGAGAGTACACTTATAAAGTTTGTGGACGATGCCAAGCTGGGAGGGACTGGAAGCACTTTGGAGGACAGGATTAGAATTCAAAATGATCTGGACAAACTGGAGAAATGGTCTGAAATAAATAGGATGAAATTAAATTAGGACAAATGCAAAGTACTAGGAAGGAACAATCAGTTGCACACATACAAAGTGGGAACTGACTGCCTAGAAAGGAGTTCTGTGGAAAGGGATCTGCGGGGTAAAAGTGGATCACAAGCTAAATATGAGTCACCAGTGTAACGCTGTTACAAAAGAACTGAACATCATTCTGGGCTGTATTAGCAGGAGTGTTGTAAACAAGACACGAGAAGTAGTTCTTCCGCTCTGCTCCGTGCTGATAAACAGCCTCAGCTGGACTCTTGTGTCCAGTTCTGAGCACCACACTTGGCGAAATATGTAGACAAATTGGAGAAAGTCCAGAGAAGAGCAACAAAAAGGATTAACGGTCTAGAAAACATGACCTGTGAGGGAAGATTGAAAAACCTGAGTTTGTTTAGTCTGGAGAAGACCAGACTGAGGGGGGACATAACAGATTTCAAGTATGTAAAACGTTGTTCTGAAGAGGGGGTGATAGATTGTTCTCCTTATCCACCGAGAACCGGACAGAAAGCAATGAGCTTACATTGCAGTAAGGGGGATTTAGGTTGGACATTAGGAAACACTTAGACTGGATGACCCTTACGGTCCCTTCCAATCCTGTGGTTCTAGGATTCTTCCTAACTGTCAGGGTGGTTAAGCACTGGAGTAAATTGCCCAGGGAGGTTGCAGAATCTCTGTCACTGGAGGTGTGTAAGAGCAGGCTGGACAAACACCTGTCAGGGACGGCCTAGATAATACTGAGCCCTGCCATGAGTGCAGGCGGCTAGACTAGGTGACCTCTCGAGGTCTGACATGTCTCTGGTGCTGTGATCTTGGTCTCATTGGACCAGGCTGGCACAGGTGGCCAGCTTAGCCACCGCCTTGCTGAGACTTGGGTTGGGTCAGGGTGAGGCAGTGCTGATAGGATGGGTGAAATGGCTGGAAAAAATAGTGGAGTTGCTCTCAGCTCCACAGCCTGAGGCTCTCCGCCGTATGCAAATCGGGGTCTCACTGGCTCCTCCCCCCATTTCTTGATGGGCCGGTAACCACAGGGAGCAAACACTGCCACCTGTGAATGGCCAGGCGCGCACAGCCTTTCTTCTTGGGTTGGGACCTTGCCACAGCAACTTGCCGACTAAACGAGACAGATGGCAGAACAAGTTCCACCCTGGTGGGTGGGGACAACACGGGGGAGCAGCCCTCTCTGCCTGCCTGTGTTTGGCACTTGGATGTGGGATGGTTAAAGCCATTGACCGCTACTGTATTGATTTATTCTTTCAGATTGGCTTGGACACTGCCTACTGGACAGCTGTGAACCAGTTTTTCATCTGGGGCAGCCTTTCCGTTTACTTTGCCATCATCTTCACCATGTACAGTGACGGCATGTACCTGATCTTCACAGCCTCCTTCCCTTTCATTGGTAAGCACTGGGACAGCTCCTGCAGAGCGCTGCGTCTCCGAGTGGGCTGTACTTAACCCGCTGGAAGTACGTCCCGTATGTACTGAGGAAATGGCAATAACACGCTGTGGATCTTATTTGTCACTGTCAGGTATTTACACCACACTACAGGACATGTTCATTGTCTCTGGTGCCCACTCGTGCATACACACGTCCCTGTGCCCATTCACTGGCACACGGTGCACACCTATATACATGCACACGCCCTATACCCATATCTGCAAACGCTCCTCCAAATAAATCCATTGAATTGGATTTAATGCAGCCTCTTATTTATCTCTCTTCTCCAACAGGCAGCTGGGTGGAGTTTGGGCCCCACAAATATTTGGGGAACGTTTGTCTGTGCAAATAGATTTGTTCATATGCGAACAAGCTTGTGTATTGGTACCGGAAGGTATCAAAGTGTGGTCACCCAGTCAGGGAGAGAAGCTATGCTATGTGACTTTAGTGCGCAGTCACCCATCAAAATAGCAAATGAATGCTGGTGATAAATGGTTTGTGAGCCGCCCTCTGACTGACGTTATTTTGCATAAGTGCCTATGAGCATGTGCAACCAGTGAACAGCATCATGTGAATGAGTCCGTCCCTGGACAGATCCTGAACAGGAGGAGGGGACTATAGCCTCAGTGAAGGTATTTGCTTCAAATACCCCACCAGCTCCAACACCTCTCTGCATCCAGCATGAGTGGAGCTCAGCTGGGAGCAGCTTTTAGTTTTGGAAGCCCTACGGTTTGTTGGTTCCAGTCTCCAGTCAGTGTTTTGGCCAGGGGTGAAAGTAACTTAAAGGACTTACCGGTACACCGGAGATCTGAGAAGGGGCGTGGCCTCAACTGGAAGAGGCGGGGCCTTTCAAGATTTAACGGCCCTGGGGCTCCGGCTGTGGCTGGGAGCCCCAGGGCCTTTAAATCACCCCAGAGCTCAGGCGCAAATTAAAGGGCCTGGGGCTCCGGCCGCCGCGGGGCTCCAGGCCCTTTAAATCAGGCAGGGCTCAGGCTAGGGCTGGGGTAGCGGCGGCAGGGCTCCGGAGGCGATTTAAAGGGCCTGGGGCTCCCCACAGGGGCCGGAGCTCCAGGACCTTTAAATCCCCTCCTGAGCCCGGCTGCCGGAGCTCCGGCGGTGATTTAAAGGGCCCGGGGCTCCCCGCAGCAGCTGGAGCCCTGGGCCCTTTAAATCCCCACCGGAGAAGCCAGTCCAGTCCAGCACGGCATTAGATGCCTAGGAGATAAAAAGGTGACTGTAACAGAGAGCTAGACGTTGGGGCGACATGGAAAATTACAGTAGGGTCATAGGAACAACAAGAGGGAAATCAGTGGAGGAATCTGCTCAGCATCTTAGATTTCTACACACGTATGCAAGGAGTATGGGGACTAAACAGGATGAACTGAAAATATTAGTACATAAACTAAATTATGACTCAGTTGGCATCACAGAGACTTGGTGGGGAAAGTCTCATGACTGGACTATTGGTACAGAGCGGAACAACTTGTTCAGGAAGGACAGGCAGGGAAAAAGGGTGGAGGGGTTGCATTATATATTAAAAATATATACCCTTGTTCTGAGGTCCAGACGGAGGCGAGAGGCAGACCAGTGAAAGTCTCTGGGTAACGATAAAAGGGTGGGAAATAGGAATGATGTCCTGGTAGAGGGAGTCTACTAGACACCCCCGAGTCAGGAGGAGGAGGTGGATGAGGCATTTCTAGAACAAATAACAGAAATATCCAAAACACAAGACCTGGCAGCAATGGGGGGACTTTAGCTACCCTGACATCTGTTGGAAAAGTCATACGAAAAAACATAAAATGTCCAAAAAGTTCTTGGAATGCCTGGGGGACAAGCTTTGTTCCAATGGCTTGGAGCTGGTATTTTTATAGAAGAGGGTCAAGCATTGCCTCTGCCTGGCTTAGGTAGGACTGACTGAGCAGTGGGTGGACACCTCCCTAGCAGCCTGCTACAGGCTCTCTAGGGAAACCGAGCAAACCCAACACACCGAGGAATACATGTCATGCAGAACCTTTGACATTAGAAGCCATCTTATAGAGCGAGGATATGGACTATTCCCTGTTCTGCTTGGACAACCCCCACGCCAACTGACCTCTCGATCTTAGATATCTGTAATGTAGCCATCTCATAGAAATGTTGGGCTAGACTGCACCTCGAGACGTCATCTAGTCCAGCCCCCTGCACTGAGGCAGGACCAAGTAAACATAGATCATCCCTCACAGTGTTTGTCCAACCTGGTCTTCAAAACCTCCAGTGACGGGGATTCCACAACCTCCCTTGGAAGGTTGGAACATTTTTCCTAACATGTAACATAACTCCCCCACGGTGCAGATTAAGCCCAACACTTCTTGTCCTACTCTCAGTGGATATGGAAAACAGTTGATCGCTGTCCTCTTTATAACAGCCTGTAAGACATCTGAAGTTTGTTATTACCTCCCCTCCCCGGGTCCAAATCTTCTTTTCTCAAGACTAAACATGCCCGGTCTAACCTTCCCTCACAGGTCAGGTTTTCTAAACCTTTTCTTGTTTTGGTTGCTCTCCCCTGGAGTCTCTCCAATTTGTACACATCTTGCCTAAGTGGGGTGCGCAGAATTGGACACAGTATCCAGCTGAGGCCTCACCAGTGCCGAGTAGAGCAGGACAATTACTCCCGTGTCTTGCATAAAACACTCCTGTTAATACACCCCGGAATGATATGAGCCTTTTTTTGCAACTGCATCACATTGTTGACCCATATTCAACTTGATAGAATCATACAACATTAGGGTTGGAAGAGACCTCAGGAGGTATCTAGTCCAACCCCCTGCTCAAAGCAGGACCAATTCCCAACTAAATCATCCCAGCCACGGCTTTGTCAAGCCTGACCTTAAAAACCTCTAAGGATGGAGATTCCACCACCTCCCTAGGTAACCCATTCCAGTGCTTCACCACCCTCCTAGTGACATAGTGTTTCCAATATCCAACCTAGACCTCCCCCACTGCAACTTGAGACCATTGCTCCTTGTTCTGTCATCTGGTACCACTGAGAACAGTCTAGATCCATCCTCTTTGGAACCCCCTTTCAGGTAGTTGAAAGCAGCTATCAAATCCCCCCTCATTCTTCTCTTCTGCAGACTAAACAATCCCAGTTCCCACAGCCTCTCCTCGTAAGTCATGTGCCCCAGCCCCCTAGTCATTTTCATTGCCCTCCGCTGGACTCGTTCCAATTTGTCCACATCCTTTCTGTAGTGGGGGGACCAAAACTGGACGCAATACTCCAGATGTGACCTCACCAGTGGCGAATAGAGGGGAATAATCACGTCCCTCGATCTGCTGGCAGATCCACTATAGCCCCAAATGCTTTTCAGCAGTGTGACCACCTAGCCAGTTACTCCCCAGCTTGTAGCTGTATATTAGATTTTCTCCTTCCTAAGCGTGGTGCTTTGCACTTGTCTTTATTGAATTTCACCTTGTTAAATTTAGACCAATTCTCCAATGTGTCAAGGTTGTTTTAAATTCTAACCCTGTCCTCCAAGTGCTTGCAACCCTTCCCGGCCTGGTGTCATCTGCAAATTTTATGTGCACTCTCCATTCCATTACCCAAGTAATGAAAATATTGAATAGTTCTGGACCCAGGACTGACCCGTGCAGGACCCCACTAGATATGCCCTCCCAATCTGGCAGTGAACCATTGATAACTATTCTTTGAGTGCCATCTTTCAACTAGTTGTGCATCCACCTTATAGCAAATTCATCTAGACCACATTTCCCTAGTTTGTTTAAGAGAAGGTCATGGGGGACCATGTCAAAAGCTGTACTAAAATCAAGCTATATATTGTCTACTGCTTCCCCCCTCCATTAGTCCAGTAAATTTGTCAAAGAAGGAAGCTAAGGTGGTTTGGCATGATTTGTTCTTGACAAATCCATGCTGGCTATTCCTTATAACCCTGTTATCCTCTAGGTACTTATACATTGATTGTGTAATAATTTGTTCCACTCTCTTTCCACATATTGACTGGTCTATAATTCCCCTTTTCAAAGACAGTTACTAAGTTGGCCCTTCTCCAGTCCTCTGGGACCTCACCTGTCCTCCAGGAGTTTTCAAAGATAACTGCTAATGGTTCTGAGATTGCTTCAGCTAGTTCTTCAAGTATCCTGGGATGAATTTCATCAGGTCCTGCTGACTTGAATACATCTCATTTATCTAAATATTCTTTAACCTGTTCTTTTCCTATTTTGGCTTGCGTTCCTCCCCCCCCCTGTTGTTAATATTAATTGCGTTGAGTATCTGATCACCATTAAAACTTTTTAGTGAAGACTGAAGCAAAATAGGCAATAAACACCTCAGCCTTTTTGACGTCATCGGATATTAGCTCTCCTTCCCCGCTAAGTAGAGGACCTACACTTTCCTTCCTCTTTCTCTTGCTCCTAAGGGTATTTAAAGAACCTCTTCTTCTTGCCTTTTCTGTCCCTTGCCAGGCGTAACTCATTTTGTGCCTTAACTTTCTTGATTTTGTCCCTACGTGCTTGTGCTATTCTTTTTCCCTCTCCTTAGCAATTCATCCGTGTTTCCACTTAGTGTCGGATTCCCTTTTGATTTTCAGGTCATGAAAGAGCTCCTGATGGAGCCATATTGGCCTCTTACCATACTTCGGAGCTTTCCTTCGCATCAGGACAGTTTACAGTTGTGCCTTTAACTTTGTCTCCTTGAGAAACTGCCAGCTCTCCTGGACAACTTTTTCCCTTAGATTTTCTTCCCATGGGACCTTACCTACCAGTTCTTTGAGTTTTTTTAAGTCTGCTCACAGGCGCCGGCTTTCTCCGGGCCCTGGGGGTGCTCAAAATCCCCTCTCCCCCAGGCCCCGCCCCCACCTGACCCTTTCCCCCAAACCCTATCCCCATCCCACCTCTTCCTGGCCCTGTTCCGCCCCAGGCCCCGCCCCCACCCCATCCCTTCTCCCAAGCCCCCGCTCCACCTCTTCCCATCCTGCTCCACCCCACCTCTTCCCATCCAGTTCCACCCCCTTCCCGAGCGTGCCTCATCCCCGCTCCTCCCCCTCCCTTCCAGTGCCACCTGCACGCCGCAAAACAGCTGATCACGGCAGGCAGGAGGTGTTGGGAGGCCGGGGGAGGAGTTGATCGGCAGGGCAGCCGGCGAATGGGAGGCGCTGGGGGGGGGCAGGGGGGAGCTGGCTGCCGGTGGGTGCTAAGCATCCACTAATTTTTTTCCATGGGTGCTCCAGTGCTGGATCGCCCACGGAGTTGGCGCCTATGAGTCTGCTTAGTTGAAATCCATTGTCCTTATGCTGCTGCTCTCACACCTTCTTTTCCTTAGAATCATGCAATCTAGCACTTCATGTATCGGGGGGGAGCCGTGTTAGTCTGGATCTGTAAAAAGCAGCAAAGAGTCCTGTGGCACCTTATAGACTAACAGACGTATAGGAGCATAAGTCTGACGCAGTGGGCATTCACCCACGAAAGCTCATGCTCCAATATGTCTGTTAGTCTATAAGGTGCCACAGGACTCGCTGTCGCTTTTTATCATTTCATGATCTCTTGGACCCAAATTCACGTCCACCTTCAGATTTGCTACCAATTTCTCTCTGATCGCCAGAATCAAGTCTAACATGGACGTTCCCCTGGTTACTTCCTCCACTTCCTGAAACACAAAGATTTCAAGCCTAGGCCCAGTGCACTTGGTTACTTTAACTCCAGTGAGGTTGTCTCCGGAGACCATTCAGCAGCATTACTGCCAACAGCAGTAGCATTAGCCGCTGTAACGAGGTGCTCACAGGCTGCTTAGCCTGTCCAAACGCTGAAGGAATGGCGGGGAGAACAAACTGGGGTTGTTTTGGCTTTGGATAATGTGGCAGCCTCCCGTCTCCACCCGAGAGCTGCTCTGCCAGTTTTACCCTCTGGGCCGGACTACTCTCCATCTGTAGCAGGCAGCTGTGCAGATCCCCACAGGACCGCGGTCCTGTCTGCTCTCCAAGTCAGTAGCCCACAGTGCTTCAGGGAACGGTGCCCGTGATTCAGGAGGTGGTGCTCTCCCTTGGCGTTCCTGGGGAGCTAATGCCCTGGGGAGGGGCTGCTGGAGGATGACTATCTATGGAGGAGATAAACATCGGGGTCTTGACCCATGGCCTCTGCCTTTTTATCAAGTGACAAGCTGTTAACGCTGGTATCCAGCAAACTCCAGTTCCGGTCATTCCTTTCTGCCTCCCTAGCCCCGCACTGCAATTGGATTTGGACACAAGAGTATTCTTCCCCGGCTGGCTCAAACTGGTGCATGATTGTTGCTGTGCGCTCTTAACCACTGCAAGTCCCACCTCCGCGTGGGCTGGGGGTCACTGGTGGGTAACCTGACCTTTGGGGATAATTTGCATATTCCAGTGTGTTTGCAGAGTGCTTTGGGATCTGTATGAATGGAAGTGCCTGCGACTGCCGCTGTCCTGGCTTTTACTGTGCTCTTGTTTTTCAGGGACAGCTCGAAACACCCTCAGTCAACCCAATGTGTGGCTGGCGATCTTCCTCAGCATCATCCTGTGTGTGCTGCCGGTGGTTGGCGGTCGGTTTCTGAAGGCTCAGCTAATGCCGACCGTCAGTGACAAAGTAAGGGGATAACCTCGGCTGTCACTGCCCCCTCCGCCTGCTTCGCAGTCCGTGTCCAGGGGCCTGGGATTGCGCAGTGTGCGAGTGCTACCCGGACTCGCGCCTGGAGCCTGTTCGGGAAGGAGGGTTTGGCGCAGTTCAGCCCGTCTGCAGCCTGAGATTACTGAGACAGATTAGACTGATCTGGGCGTGGGGGGATTGGGGAAGCAGGGCTATTTTTAGGTGCAGGGTTTAAGTGTTGTGGCTTGGTGACAAAGCAGCAGTGCATTTCACAGCCAGCAGAGCCGCCCCCTGCTACTGCAGTGCAGGTGTGCAGTCCCCCGCCCGGCCTCCCAGACGCACACGTCTGCTTGGGTTCTGCTGGCTGAAGGGACCCGCTTCCTCTTCTGCTAACATTCACACACCTCGGGAACCAGCCGCCCTCCCCACCCAGGGAATAGGAAGCGGAGGTGGGGCTGTTCCTCCTGGGGGGAGTGGAGGGGGGGCTGCAGTAGTGAGGAGAGAACGCTGGCCATGCCACATTAGTGTGAGGGACTCTCCTGGAGGAGAACCCCCCCACCCGCAAACAAGGCTGCAGGTGATGCTCTGCTTCACTGCCGACCGGAGCAGTTTGCTAAATGCCGCTGCACTCCAGTGTTTCTCTTCTTCCTGCGCTCTGCCAGCGTTAAGGCACAACGTCCTTGAGCAAGGCCACACCCCTGGCAAAGCTCCCCAGGGGCCCTGTGGGAAGGGGCAGTGACGCAGCTAGATTCTCTGCCGCTAAGGACTAGGGTGATGGTTCCACAGAAAATCAGCAGCTAGAGAGACAGAAGAGGTGCCGTCCCCAAGGACACATTCATAGATCATAGAAGATCAGGGTTGGAAGGGACCTCAGGAGGTCATCTAGTCCAACCCCCTGCTCAAAGCAGGACCAATTTTTCCCCCCCCGATCCGTAAATGGCCCCCTCAAGGATTGAACTCACAACCCTGGGTTTAGCAGGCCAATGCTCAAACCACTGAGCTATCCCTCCCCCCCTATTCAAACCTCCCTGCTGAGTTTAGCTGGCTCTCGCCGCTTCAGATGGGATGACCGGTGTTTGTGGGTTTACTAGTTTATTGAACTACGGTATTGTACACGGGCCTGGCCCAGACTCTCCGATCAGTGCCCTGTCCTTGGCAGGGGAGCTCAGAATCCCAGCTCCAGGCTATGGCTCGGGCCTGGCTCCCCACAGCAAGCATGCGTCACTTTTGTCAAGGCTCGCGGTGCCTGTGGGACATGAGCTGCCTGCTGAGAGGACTGTTCTGGCTGGGGAGGGGTCCCAGCCGGCTGCCAAGCTGGGACCTAGATAAAGCCTGACCCTGAGAGAGGCCAAGGACCTGCAGCTCCCATTGCCTCGAACAGGAGGTGCAGAGGGTCAGCATTTCTCCAGACTCTGCCCCTGCTGCCTCTAGCTTTGTTGTGCTCACACGGGCCCTGTGTCTGTAGCCGGTCTGGCTCTGAAAAGACGCCCCGTGGCTGATATTTGATAGCCCTGCCGTGTAGGAGCAAGGGGCTGCTAGGAACCGTTTGTACACAGCCAGGTTACTGCCTTCCGGCCAGTTAAAGCCTCTGCAGGTACCCGCTTCTGCCTGTGAAGCAACAGGACTGTGGGCGTTCCAAGCCCAGCTGTCTCTCCCACCCGCTGAGCGGGATGTTTTCTGATTTCAGGTCCTACGCAAGATCAGAGCGGCCAAGAAGCGGCCGCCGCCTCCCTTGCCCAAGACACGCTTGCGCCGTACCAGCACCCGTCGCTCCGGCTACGCCTTCTCCCATCAGCACGGCTTCGGCGCGCTCATTATGTCTGGGAGAAACATGCGGCCTAAACTGCCTTTCACCACAACAGGGACGTTTTCACCCAATAGTGAGAAAAACAAACACAAGTGAATGAAAGAACCAGGGCAGCCAGAAAGGAAACTGTGATCTGCACAGCGTCCCAGCCCGCACCTGCCCAGGACTGCCCTGTCAGCTACTCCAAGGAGGACTCAGGCCTTCTCTTTCCACCCAGGCACTCGCTCTAACTCCAGCTCCTGCTCTGAAGGGCACGCGCTGCTCCCAGGGAGGCAGGGGAAGGGTGGAAAGAACAGGATGAGTCAAAGTTCTTAACTGTGTGGCATTGACAAGTGGAGAGCGGCAAGTGCAGAGCAGACCAACCCCCACATCCCTCCGTGGCCTGAGAGAGAGAACGTGCAGGGGAACGCCCGCTCCATGCACCAAGATCATCCGTGATGCCACTGCTTCATCCCCTCAACCCAGTACCGCCGAGCACAGCGAAGTCAGGGCGGAGCGAGGGCAGAGCTGTATACGCTCATCCCATCCACAAGACTTGTTTCTGCTGTGAGCTATGCCGTGAAACATTCAGAGCTGTATTCATCCCGGGGATAACTCCACTGACCCCAGGGGGGACGGGCCCAGTGCCTCGAACCCAAATCTTTGCAATCTAAGTAATTGTGCGGCCATTTGTCCATAATGTACATGAGCATTTGGAGAGTATGAGGTGGGAAATGACCTTCCGAGCTGGTGGGTAACCCTGTCCAGGTCTACAGCCAGTGCCCCAAGCGCAGCCCCCTACCTTTGGGAGGTGCTGGAAGTCAGGGTTCAGCTCTCCAGGCAACACCCAGGGAAAGGGGCCTGCAATCGAGCTGTGCTGCAGAGCCAGCCTGCTGGGAAATGTCATTGTTCTCAGGGTTTGCAGCCAGGCACCAGCAGTTTCTTCTAGATTGAAAACAGAAAAGCACCAAAACACCCAGTTCCTGAATTCCACAAATGCTAGAGCCGCTCCGTTAGAGTAAAGCTGGGAAATCCCTCCCTGGGTCATGGCTCGGTCTCACCAGGGAACCTCCATCAGCAGTTGGCTTTCCAACCAGACCCCGCCAAATTCTGCTCTCCAGCACAAACGCCCAGCTCCCCTGGACTGAATGAGAGCCTCTGATGGCAGAAACGGAACCTCCATGCGCTGCACAGGGCCGATGGGAGGGTGCCGTTTTCACCCTTACCTCTGAGTGCCCAGCTCTTTAACACGCCAGCCCCCCTGTTCTGTCTCTCCCTAGGCTCAGGCTTGGTGATCTCTGCAGTTTCTTGAACCACACGGTTTTGCCTCCTCGTTCGATTTTGGTTGGAAGGCGAATCCATCAGACAGCTGACAGCCCCTAAGTCCCGTGTGTGAGGTCAGAGAGCTGTGAGCCCGCCAGCAAGGGGACCTGACAGACTAGAAACGGCCAGAGTCTTGGAGTTGCTGAGCCGTTGGGCCTGGTTCTCCAGGCCGTCACACCAGTGCTATACCGGGGGAGTTACCCTGGTGTAAAGCCAGCATGCGGGAGTGGAGAATCAGGCCCATTAGCGTTACTCACCCATCGGAACGGCGCTCTCTCGCCTGCAGGACAAAGCGCCCCCCTGTTAGTTCCTCAGCCGGTGCTCTAACCACTTGCAGAGGGTGGTAGGGCTAGATCCGATGCCTGCTTGGGCGGGGGTTCCTGTACATTACACACGTTAGCGGTAACGGGGTTCTGTGCGGAATCCCCGAGGCACTGGCGGAAGGGATGTGTTACTGTGACAGGCCAGCGACGTTTCCACTTGAATTAGTCTCCCTAGAGCTCCTTGTTACCTGCTGGGCTCCTGGTTTTAACAGCAATTGCGTGGAATTGTTTATACTCCTCTAACGAAGGGTTTTATTCTCTGGACATGACTCTCCTCTGGGCTTAGCACCGGTAGAGACAGAGGGTCGATTGCAGCTGGGCTCTGGGGATTTGTTATAAACCACAGCATTAGCTTTCGGCCATGGGGCTGGGTCTGCCCTTCCACAGCAGGGGAAAGGAACATGCTGCACGGAGACAGCTGTAACACCGAGCAATGCAGTGCACCGGGGCGAATCAAACTGAGCGGTGCAGTCATTGCTCGTCGCTTCTCTCTGGCTTGTGGCTCCCTTGCCAGAGACCATCACCTCGGCACGCCGATTCGGATAACGGCTCACGACGGTACCGAAGGGGAGAGTTTAGATTGTTAACTGACACCCCAGAAGGCTCAGCCTGCCAGGCTGTGGCTAGCGTGTGATGCTGTGGGCTGCAGTGCTGAGAAGGAAAGGCAGGCCAACTGCGAATGAACCAGGGAAGCTCTGGGACCCCAGACACCGCTCTAAGACGGTTTGCACACAACACACCCTACTTGGCCACGGCCGAAGCGGGACTTACAAATGCTGCATAAGACACGCAAGGGATGATCCACTTGGTGAACTTGCTCCAACTGCAAATACTTCAGCAGTTTGACAAGACCAATGTATGTTTTTAATGTCTTGAAATTGGCCCTGGTGTTCCACAAGCATCTCTCCTTGGTTTGTAAAATAATTTTTTAATATAAATAGTGGCCAATGGGATGAATAATGTGTGTGTAATCTGTTGCTTGATCCTTGGGGCGTGAGCAGGTGCAAGTATGTTGTTCACTGCATGGATCTCAGGAGTGGGAACACGGAGAGCCAGATTGCATCAGAGTAGTGACTCACGAAGAGCCCAGCCCAGCTGTGGAGGAAAGTGGAGGGGGGCCGGAGCAGGGAGTGGGGCAGTTGGGGGAGGGGGTGACAGTGGGTTGGAGGGGGGGTTATGCGGGGTAGTTGAGAGAGGGATTGATGGATGGTCAGAGCAGGGATGGGGAGGGAAGGGTCATGGAGGCAGTTGGGTAGAGTAACCATATTTCCCAAAGGGAAAACGGGACACTGCACGGGGCTGACCTGAGCAACCTTTCCCCCCACCCCCCTGGGCTGCCAGCCTGCCCTGCGGCCTGGCATCGCTATTCAACCCCCCAGCTGTTTCTCCATGCCCCCCTAGGGGTGTGCCCCACTTTTTTTGGCACAACTGGGCATTTGTCCTGTTTGCTTTGGCCAACTGATGATCAGACAAATGCCCAGTTGTGCCAAAAAAGCTGGAACGTCCGGCCTAGGGCTTAAAAAGGGGACTGTCCTGACCAAACCGGACCTATGGTCGCTCTACAGTTGGGGGAGGAGGTGATGGGGGATCCGAGTGGGGAGGGTTATGAGGGGCAGTTGGGAGAGGAGGTGATGGGAGTGGGGCACCATGGGGACAGTTGGGGGAGGTGATGGGGGGTCAGGGCAGGGGTTGAGGGGGAGGGTCATAGGGTGTAGCTGGGTGATGGGGGGGATCAGAGTGGGAGGGTCATAGGGGTACATGGGGAAGAGGGGTGATGGGAGGTGGGGCACCATGAGGGGCAGTTGG